CTAGGTTCAAAAACACTGAAATGGATTTGTTTACATTAATAAAAAAAAAAAAAATTCAAGTTACCGTTTTTCTTTTTTGCCCCATCGGAAGTTCATCATAACAAAAGACAATAAATATATACAAAAACTTCCCACAAATACTATGCACTGGTAATAAAATAATAATGATGATGTTTCAAATTATTATTTATTCAATGTCTATAATGTATTTTTCAATATTATATATAACATGGAAGAAAATAATTGTTGTTTTCAACAATGACACCATCTTTTACAATTTTCGTGTCTCATGAACATGAAAATTCGTTATTATAGTCATTCTATCATTCAATCATTCATTATAAATTTGTTTTGGTAAATTATTTGAAATTTAAACTTGACAATTTTAACTCAAAAAAAATTTTCTCAAAAAAGAAAAAATTTAATATATAAATTAAAACAATATTTTTTATAATTTAACACGACATTTTCAATTTTTTCTTTATCGAAAAAAAAGGTAATAATAATAATAGGAAAAGAGAAAAAATTTTTTTTTCTTTTTTAAACAAGGGTATTTCATTACGAAAAGAAACAAACAGTAAATTTGTTTGTACAAAAAAATTTAAATTTTTAAAAATTGTGTGGCTTAATCACAAAACAAGTGTAAATTAATACAAAAAAAAAAAAAAAAAAATTAACGATACGAAAATTAAAAACAATTTTAAGGTGTTAAAAAAAATTAATAAATTTATGTTATCACTTAATTAAAAATGAAGCAAATGTTAGACATTGTGAAAAGTTTTTCTTTTTTTTTTTTTTTTTTCTAGAAAATTCCCTTTCGAACAAAACTTTTGAAAATTATATCATTCCTTTTCAATCAAATGATTGATTGACCATTATGTTAAAAAAAAAAAAAAATTTTATTTGCGAAAAAGTTATTAACTTTTTTTTTTTTTTTTTTTCAGGGTTTGATATAATCTTTCAATATAATAAAACGCCCTTTCACTAATAATAATAATACTTTTCATAAGGTTGTTTATTAATATGACCTTTTCCATAATAAAATGCAAAAAAAAAAAAAAAATTAAAAAGTATCATGACAAATATTCATTAAATTAGGGTCGATCGTTTTCAGCCATTAAAACAAAAAAAAAAAAAATTAAATTAATATTTTTTGTAACAAATAATTCCGAAGCTGTTTGTTCACCTCGTCGTCATCATGTGTTTGTTTTGGTTTCCTCCCCCCCCCCCCCGATTTATTCCCACCATTAAAAAAAGTTTTACATAAATAAATTAATTAAACACAGTTAATAAAATAAAACTAAATTTTTTAAAATCATTTACTACATGTTTTTTTTTTTTTTTTGATACAAACAAATTTATTTGGATATTGTTCTATAAAAAAAAAATTAATAAAAACATAGAAATAATTCATTTTGAGAGTAGGTAGTAAACAAATTAAATGGTAATTAATGCACATTTTGTTGTTGTTAATAAACATAAACATAAACAGAAGCAAAAAACATTTCCTTGATCCAATTAAAATAACAAAATACATTTTATTAAGATTTTTAACTTTTCAGTCAAACCCTTTTGTTTTCTTTTTTTTTTTTGTTTATATTAATTTAAAAAATTATAAATAAATAAATATTATTCACGTTTTCTTTTATTTTAAAACGTATAAATAAATATTGATAACTTATTTATTATAAAATACATCAATAAAAAGAAAATCAATGTAAAAATTAAATGTCCATTTTTCATTTTGTTTTTTTTTTTTTTTTTTAAGAAAAATAAATAAATAAATAAATAATATTTATTAATAAAAATAAGAAATTTCTTAAAGGGGTATATTTTTTACCTTTGACTGTTACGTATAAAATGCGCATGCTCAAAACAACAACAATATTTGTTACTCAATAGAAAAAAAAAAGAAGAAATTTCTTTTAGTTAGTCGATATTTAGCTTATAGGTTATTAAATAAAAATTTCTTTTTTTTTTTTTTTTTTTTTTCCCATTTCGTGTTTTTACGACGATTTGCCCATAAACGTGCGCATGGACACAAAAAAAAAAAAGGAAAAAAAATTTTTTTTTTTTGATTTATTTTCCATTTTCGAAGTCACTTTCTTTTAAGGAAAAAAAAAAAAAAAAAAATTTTTTCCCCCGCCAGCTGATTTCTGTTTTTTTTTTTTTTTTTTTTTTAATATTTTTTTTCTTCTTCTCTCTCTCTATTGAAAAAAAAAATTACGTTTTATTAATCACGTAAGTATTTTTAAATTATTTTTCTTTTTTATATTAACGTGCAAATAAATATTTTTTAACAATATTTTATATATATAAGAAAAAAAAAATAATAATAATTAATAGTGGGTTGTTGTTGTGTTTTGCATATTTCATTTTTATTTATTAATTATTAATATTTTGATTTGTGAATTTAATTTTTTCCGTTTGGTTATATAAATAATAAAGTTGTTTTTTTTTTTTAAAATTATATCTTATTTATAAAAATTATTAAAGGGGCAAATAAATACTAATTTATAAAACATGAGAGAATATTAATATTAAAAAAAAAAAAAAAAAAAAAAAAAAAAAAAAGTTGAATAGCATTTGACATGTTAACGGTCGCACAATAACCTAAATATTGTTTTAATCGATACTTTTTTTTTTTTGCGCAATCGTCGTGACGTATTATTTATTTTTTTTTTTATTCAAGGTTTTTTTTTCTGCTTAAAATGGTTTTTTTTTTAATTGTATTGTTTTTTTTTTTTTTTTGGTAGTTTAAAAAAATTAAAAATGGTACCGATAAATTCACAAAAATCAAAATCACAATCATCGTTAAATTCATCGGAAAATCATTTTGTTTCCGGATATCAATCATCAATATTATCAACAAATAATCCCGGATTATTTGCTTGGATTAGAGTTTTCCGATTAGCCAATCTTCTCATGCAAACCGGTTGTTAATTAAATAAATAAAAAATTTATCATTATTATTATTATTACTATTTATGTAACAAATGACTAACGTAAACATACAAGAAAAAAAATAAATAATAATAATAATGTAGGTCATATATAAAAAAGTAAAAGTATAATAATAATAATAATGATAACATAATAACTGATGGGTATAAAAAAAAAGAAAAAAAAAAAAAAAATGAAACAATAATAATGATAATAAATATATAAAATAAGTTATATATAATGCCGAATATAGTAGAATATTTTTGCCTTTTATTATTATTATTATTATTAAAGTTACTAAAATTTATAAATCAATTATAAATAAATTTAAAAAAAAAAAAAAATTATTATTATTATTATTTGTTTGTTTTTATGTTTTTTCAGTAAATAAAATATATTTTTTAAATAAAATATTAATATTATTATTATTATTGTTATTGATTAATTATTGAAAATAATAGTTAAAAATTGTTGATGGTGTTATTTTATTATGTATTTTAGTCAGTAGTTTAAAAGAAAAATAATAATAATAATTTTATAGTTATATTTTTCTTAAAAAAATTATTTCTATAACGTCACCTACGACTAATTAATATATATATATATTGTTATTATTATTACTAATGTTAATTAATGATATAAATTTAAATAAAAAATTTAATTAATTAAATAATTGTTTATAATATTATAACAACTTCATGTTTTTTTTTTTTAATAGGTAATTTTTTGAATTACTGAGAGGAAACGTTTTGTTTGTATGTTTGTACAATTTATAGAAATTATAAAAAAAAATTGAAAGACAATAATAATAATAATAACAATAATAATAATATTGATTTACACGCTCCGATTATTTTCAAGAAAATTTCTGCCATTTTTTTGGTTTAGTTTTGCAATATTTAAAAAAAAAAAAAAAAAAAAGGCGCCATAAATTATTGTTTAAATATTTTTCAAGGGAAATATTCAAAATATTATTAAAATGTGTCACAAATGTTCCAAAAATCAATAAAAACAAACACAAACGCTACTAAAAACGGTTAGAAACAAACAAACAACCAAAGTGATAAACACAAACGTGGAAAATATTTTTTAAAAAAATTAAAAAGTTTTTATCCCCAGCAAAAAAAAAAAAAAAAAAAACATAATGATAATAATAATAATAATAATAATTATGTTTACCTGAACGAAGAATGATGCTTATTAGATTTTTTTGATTCGTTAAACACTCTAAAACAACATATATATATATATAAAAACAAATTTTAAAAAAATTTAACACTGTTTATAAAAATAAAACAAAAACAAATTTTAAACTAATCTTACTTTTTATCATTTTTTAAAAATTTTTCGCCAAAATTTGATAAATCCCGAGTATCATTATTATTATTATTATTATTATTATTATTATTATCTTCGTTGAGCGTTAGATTAGTAAAAACTCCAGGTATTTTTAACTTTTTCGGACTACGAATAGGCGATTGCGGCATTTTTTTCTCCTTTTTTTTTTTTTTTTTTTTTTTTAGCGACTTTCGTCATTGATTTAAATAATAAAACTAATTGCAAACACAAAAAATAAATATTTATTATTATTATTATTATTATTATTTTTTTTTTTGGTAATCCACTTCCGCAGGAAATTGACAGATATTTCGGCCTTGCCTAAGGAAATGCGATAAGGTTTTATTGACGTCATTTACTCTCGGTTTTACAAGTCATTTAAGGAAACACCCGAATGGCCTCCTATTAAATTCACACATATAATTTATTGTAGAATCATCATCATCATCATCGTCATCACTACTATTCCAAATATAAGTAAAGTTATTAATTACTATTTAGAAAAAATAAAAAAATAAAATAAATATGTCAAAAATTTTTTTTTTTTTTTTAATATTCACTATTTACACGCTTAAATCTATGCATACACACTTAAATAACTAAAAAAAAAAAATCTAAAAAATAAAAATAAAATAATTTAAGGCATAGATTTATTATAATTGATAGATTTTTGCCACCACCTTTCGGCTGCTTCCACGGCAATTTCCGTGATCGGACGATCATAACAAAGCTCTCTATAAACTTCAAGATAAAATTTCACATAAGGAGATAAATATTTTTTATTTTGTTTTTTTTTACCCGCGGATTTTGCTTCGGATTCATTTATTTTAATATCGTAATTTTTTTTTTTAACTTTATCCTCGTCGAAACTTTCATTAACTATTTCTCTTTTGGCTAATGCAAAATAAAGTTTACGCTCATTATTTGCATTTACTCTTATTGCATTTTTAACTTCTTTTTCCCAAAATAAATCTTCTTTCGGATCTAACGTGACTGGTATATTTTTCGTATTATTTTCTAAATTATTAGAATTTGTGAATCGTAAAATATGTTGATTTCTAAACAATATCGAAAAAAAAAAAAAAAACAAAATATATGATTCCCCACAGTTCATGAAATTAAAATAATAATAATAATTTATTAACAAAACACTTACTTTTGCCTTTGTAAACAATTTTCGTTCAATGAAAAATCACTTCTTGCTCCTCCTGTTGGTGGTTCATTTTTTAAATTTTTTTTATTCGGTGATTCTTTATTAGAAATATCAGTATCGCTGTCTTCAAATATTTTATTTTCTCGAAAATACAACCATTCAATTTTTTTATTTTTATCTTCTCCTTGGTCTTTTCCATCTTTCAAATCTACGCTTTTTTTAACATTTTTCTCTTTTGCTTGAAATGAATTATCGTTGATGTTATTTGATATTAATGTTTCTTCTGCTCCCATGGCTTCGCAATAAAAACTATTTTGACTTTTTTTCATTTTTTCTAAAGAACCATTTCCGAGTACGGGCCTTTCTGGATTTCTATAGATTTTTTCCGGAGGAGTTTCTTTTCCATTTTTACTCCTTGAACTACTTCTCACGGGTGAAAATGATGTTCTTCCCCTTTTAGAAATTTTCTGCGAACGTAAATCTTCATTTTGACTCGTTCCCAATGAATTTTCATCGAATGAATCCATATCCATGTTAGATTCCGGTTTGCCACAGGAAAATTTATTGTTGCCGGCCAAAGATTGATAATATTTTGAATTTGAGCAACGATGTTTGGTAAAATTTTTGTGAGAGGTACGCGAAGACTTTAAACCTAATTTTTTCAACTTATTGTTTATTTTTTTTCTGTTTCTTAAGGCTAAACAAAGCCTTTTCTCTCCTTTTAATGTGTCGTAAATAGCATCTTCAACTGCTTTTTGCCAATATGCATCCAACTCTAAAAGTTCAGGTATATAAATATCAGACATTTTACTACAATTTTGAGACATACCGAGTGATAATAACAATAATAATAATAATAATTTTACCTTTGAAACAAGAAATTTTAATTTATTTGCATATTTTTAAATTCAAAATGGCGGTTAATGTTTATCTGCTTAGGTGTTGTTAAATAAATGAATGCAATTAGAAACACAATAAATAAGGTAAATATTTATAATTCAAAATTTTTCTAAAATTTTTTCTTATAAGACTCTCGATAAGTTAATTGAATTTTTTAAAAAATACTGTTTTCCTGAAATTAAATTTAATTAATTTAAATTGAAATTTACAAAAAATAAAAAAAAAAGGAAAGCCGTTCAATCAATTTTACAGTTATTTATAATATGTTCAGCATAAGGTACGAATTACAAAAAAAAATTTAAATTTAAATAGTTAAGTAAGGTAAGTAAAAATGTAAAATTTTCATTAACCTCAAAAATTTAATTTAAAAAAAAAAAAAAAAAACAATTCAATATATAACGGTAACTAAAATGTAGGAAAAAAAAAAAGTTTTTACGTAAAACTTTAATAATGCATTCGAAAAAATTTGGTATGAAATATATGTGTTGCCTAGCCCCCAGGGAGGATCGAACTCCCGACCCCTGGTTTACAAGACCAGTGCTCTAACCACTGAGCTATGGAGGCCTAATATTCACCGCATTATTTTAAGTTATATAAATGTATTGTTAGCATTTTATATTTATTTTTTAATTTATTGGTTAATTAAATTATTTATTTAATTGTCTTGGGTTCAAATTTACGAGTGTTTCATTAATATTACAATATAATTTTTGTAAAAATCCACTGCGACATTAAAATTACATTAAAATTATACAATTAAAAATATCAAAAGACCTAAACTAATTTTACAATGCCAAACATTTTTCCAGGTCACAATAATAATCACACAAGTTAATATTAATAATAAACTAATCGATAAAGAACACTGATGGCCAGTTTAAAAAAAAAAAAGTGACTACTTAACAACGGTAATGGCGGAGAAAGCAGTGCTGGCAACTGTTTTATTTTTTAAAATTCCTTTGAAAACTTTCACGATGCTTGATTAATCAAACACGTCATCAGAGTGGAAATTCAAAAGGATTTCATGATAAAACGTCAATATTAACTACTTTTGACGATAAAGTTTTATATGAGAAAATGTATAATGTAGTTACTAATATTTTACGTTTGTGAAGGGTATTTTTGTTGCATAAAGATGTCCGTGGATACTTTTTCTTCGAGTAATGGTTTGGGAAAAATTTCACATCCCAGCCAAAAAGGAACGATATTGATGAAACTATCATCATATGTATTAGCTTTGAGACCGTGGTCACTTAGTGCATCTCTTATTCCCACCTTATTGGGAACAGCGTTGGCATACAAAAGCACATCCGAGTTTGGATGGCTAATACTTTTAGTGACTATTTTTACATTAGTATCCGTTCACGGTGCTGGAAATTTAGTCAACACCTATTTCGATTATGTTAAAGGAATTGATGGAAGAAAAAGCGACGATAGAACTCTCGTGGATCATTTACTATCGCAAGATGAAGTGGTCACATTTGGGGCATTTCTGTATGCAGCTGGTTGCGCCGGTTTCATAGCCTTAGCTGCACTTTCACCAGCAAAAATGGAGCATTTGGCACTTATATACTTTGGTGGTTTATCAAGTTCGTTTTTATACACCGGAGGAATAGGATTAAAATACATTGCACTTGGTGACGTCATTGTACTTGTTATTTTTGGTCCTCTATCAGTACTTTTTGCTTTTATGGCACAAACTGGGAAAGTTGAATGGTCGTGCATTTATTATGCCATACCTCTTGCCTTAAACACTGAGGCCATTCTTCACTCTAATAATACAAGGGATTTAGAAAGTGATAAAGAAGCTGGTATTGTAACATTAGCCATTTTAATAGGTTTCACAGCTTCATATGTGTTGTATGCATTGTTACTCTTTACACCATACATATTATTCGTTATAGTTAGTTTGAGATATTCTCTTTGGTTTTTGCTGCCTCTCATAACTCTTCCTTCTGCTTTTAAAATTGAAAAACAATTTAGGTGTCACAATACAATTCAAAAAGTTCCACAAAGGACAGCTAAACTCAATTTATACTTTGGTTGTTTATATGTGATAGCTGTGAGTGCCATTAAAATGCTACCATTTATAAATTATTAAATTTTATTTAAAACAATTTAAAACAGAAGCAGAATTGAAAATAATAAATAGTAAATTTCAAAATATAAAAACCTGTAACTTTTTTTGTTTTTCATTAATTTTAATAAAATCTGATAATAATTATAAGAAACATTTTTTTTTTTTCTACATTCAGTAGATTAATATAATATCTGTATAATTTATTATTTTTCTTAATTTGTGAATATATATATATATATATATGTAATTTTATTCAGTATTTTAGTTTTGTTTGTATTTCATAAGACTGCTAATCTAAAATAAGTAAACACGTTTTTTATTTAAGTGTAATATTAATTATTAAAGTATTTATTAATTAATTTATTTTTATTTTTTACTTCTTTAATTTTTTTTTTTTTTTTTTTTACCAAAAAACTGTATCGAATAAATTTTGATGGTAAATGTTATTATTATTTTTTTATAAAAGAAAAATTTAATAATAATAATAATAAATAAATAAAAAAGCATTGATTGCTTTTTAATTTCTAGTCTTCCACTATATTTGTAAAATTATTTTTTTAAAAATATGTATGTGTATATATATATACACATACATATATATATATATTTTATAAATAAATAAATAAATAATTTAATTAATGTTTAATCATCAATTTAATATTATCCTATTATGCTTTGCAATGAATTAATTGGAAAAATCAAATCAAATTATAATAAATTGTATTATTATTATTTTTTTTTATATTAAAACAATTTTATTTATTTATTTTTATTTATCATTAATTTCATTTTAGAATTATAATACAAAAAAATAATTTGTTAATTTTTTATTTTTTTGACCTTAAAATAGTGTAAAAAAAAAAAAAAAAAAAATTATTTTTTTTAATAATAATAATAATTCTGACAATTCATTGTGTGTGTTTTTTGTCTGATATTTATATCCATTTTTAATTTTTGTAAATGCAAAAGGTTTCCAATTTTTTAAAATAAATTACTCGGCTAATTATTTACATAAAAAATTAATTTGATTTTACTATTTTTTAAATGTATTCAATGTATTATCTGGTTTGGCCAATAGAATATTATCCGTTTTCAAAAGCATTTTAAAAAATAATCAAAATTTATAACTAAAAACTAATGACAACTTATTTAGTAAAAGAAGTAAAAAATTAAGTTTCACTCTTTATCCCATTAATTACAAAATTCCTTTTTTTTTTTCACTTCAATTTTAATAATAATAATCATCTCGATAAAAAATCCTTGTTCATCCTTCATATTAAAAAAGAATATCTATCCTTAAGTGAATTATAATATAATTATTTATTCGTTTAAATTTCAATAGATAAGCAAACATAATGTTATGAGAATAATTTTAATAAAATGATTTTCAATCTTATAAAGTAAGCAAATTATATTAAATTATGTGAGCTATAAATTTTTTTATGAAATATATAAATCAGTTTAAAAAAAGCTATAATTACATTAATAATGAATATTATTTAAATCTTCTGTTTAGCGTAATCATACATTTATTTCAGATTTTTTTTTTTTTTTTGGAATTGAAATTTTTTTTTTTTTTTTTTTTAAAATATTTTGCACCTTTACAAATCGTTACATCATCACTGAAACACTTTTAAATAACGCAAATAAATAACACCTTTTCTCTAATTCGGTCTATAAATATATATATATATATATATATTTGTGTGGGTTTGTGTGTGTGGGTGTATGTGTATATATGTGTGTGTGTGATTTAAATATATATATATATATATATATATATGTGTGTACCCGATAACTAAAGTCCACGAACGGTAACCGATATAAATAAAAAACGGTTTTTTTTTTTTATAAGTGAAATTTTATTTCGATGAATTTGATTTGATTTTTTCTTTTTTCCATTTAATTATTCGCTCTTTTAAATCTGTGGCTGAAAAATACCCCCCAATAAATAAATCACTTAAGTAAAACTAAACTCGGAAGAGAACATGCTCCAAATATAACGAAAAAAAAAAAAAAAAAAAAAAAAAATTAAATAGAAATAAACATACCTGGTAGTAGCATATCTTCTGTCAAAGGTTGACGGTTAAAAGGATCGGTTGAAGAATTGAGCAAATGACGAATAATAACGGGTCGATCCATTACTTTTCCGGAAGGTAATAGCACGGGTTCTTCCATTAGCGTATCCATTAAAGGATCTTCGAAAAAAAAAAAAAAAAAAAAAAAAATTATAATTTGTTTTGTAAATGATTAAACTTTCTCAGAATGAATAAATTAAAAAAAAAATTTTTACCCCTGAATTCATCTGGAGCATCGCTATAATCTACTTCTCTGTTTTTATTTTGTTCTTGAATATCTGCAGCTCTTTGAATCAAATTTCTAAATTGCTCCAATTCCGTTTGAGTTTTTATCGAAGCTCTTTCCATTCTTAGAGCAGCATCTTCTAAAAGATCTTTCTTAAATGATCTTTCATCTCCAGCCAAAGCAGATGCAAATTCTTCACAATCTAAATGTAAGTAAATGTCTGCCAATTGACTAAGAAGCCTCCTCGGCTCCCATCCGTATTTTTCGGGTGTTTTAACTTTTAAATTTTTACACTTGGGCCCACACAATTGTTTAAGATTAAAATTTAACATGGCAGAAAGTCTGTCTGCGAGTTCAGGTCTCAAAAAGGGGCCCTTTATGTCCATTGTTAAGTAATGAAACATGTCAACTGTTTCTCTAGCGAGTGTTAAATAACTTCGGCATTGCCTCTCATCTGCAGCCAATTGTCTCTGTTTGGATTGCTGTTGTTCGACAGTAAGAGCAGCCCAAGCAGCTGGATCACTAAGGAGTTCTTGTATCTCGTGGATTCTTTTAAGGGATTCTAAACTTTCATCCAAGAGAAAAGTAGTATCATTCATGAGCATGTTAACAAATTTCACAAATTGCGTTCCAGATCTGTTAAAAAAAAAAAAAAAAAATTATAAGTCAAACAGATAAACTAAGGGTAAAATCTTTTATTTAAAATCCGTTAAATTTAAATTTTAAAACATTTCAATACTCATATAAAATTTACAAAACAGTTAAAACAATTTTTGTTTTAACTGCTGTGGGGGAAAAAAAAAAACTTAAATAAACTTACCTGGATTCTTTGATGACTGATAATCTATGTACTGGTGAATCCCACATTCCTTTAAGGATAATACTAATGTGATATCGAATAGTGAATTTATCATAAAATTCAGAACTGGATCCCGTAGTTTCGACATCCGTGTAAAATTTCATGAGAGCTCCCGGAAGATAATTTTTGGAAACGTAATGAGACATTAATCTGTCGTATAATACTTCAGTTCTAGGTTGAATACCCGGATTTAGTACAAACATAACTTCTATTATTTTAGCTACAAGGTACGGGTTTTTAATGCAGTGAGGAGAACAGGTAGCAACCAAAAGCCAAGTAATAAGAACATCTTCTGCAAAACTTGCTACAATGTCCGGGCGGAATCTGAAAAAAAAAAAAAAAATTAAAAATTAATAAACAAACATTAAATTTAGTAAGGTAGTAAAACAGGTTGCATTTTATTTGTTTTTTTTTTTTAAACTGATACGATTTACACAAATTGTATTTATACTTACTGAAGTGTAAATAGTAAAAATTCAGCAATGTCTTCGAGATACCATTCGGGTAATGCTGAAAATAAAGCTGGAGCTTCCGGAACTGGTAATGATTGTATAATAACACTTCCTCCTGGGCATAAAAGCTCTAACAAATATTCAGCTACTGAAGAGTAATACGTGAGTGATCGTTTTAAAAGCGAATCATCAAGTAGTCCAGCGTCAGCGCACGCACGGCTACGAGTTAATTTCTAAAACAAAAATAAAAAAATAAAATAAATTAAATATTATAAATATTAAAAAATGATACTACTTTTAAGGCAAAGCAAGTGACATTAGCAAAACTTTTTCAACAACAAAATTTCGATTCATAAATTAATTATAGTAAAACTTTTGAAAAGCAAAACAAAATTTTAATAGATTGTTTTAAACAAAAGTATAAATAATAATTACCTTAATTTGTAATTTCCATCTTTTGATTAATTCCTTATTTCTGGCAGCGAGTGGCAAATCTTTCCAATGAATTTCGCTAGCAGACATTTCCTCAACTAATTTATGTAAGTCTCTGAGTGCCCTCAACCTCCTTTGATATTTATTTAATGCAGGAATAAGTGTTAAATGATGAGCATGAAGTGTAAGAAACCAACACTGTGTAGGAAATTTAGGTTCACGCCAAGTATGAACAGGATTTCTCCCTGCAAAAAATTTTCTAATTAATTCATATGTTTTTAAAAAACACTAAACTGGTAAAAAAAAAACTTACTGAGTTCATCCACCCAAGTGACAACTTCTTGAGAAGTAAATCGCAAGCGAGTTTCATCTTTTTTTATTTCAACTAATGATTTGGGATGAAAAGGATACATGGAATCCACTTTATCTAATTTCACCTGTTTAACATAAAAAATTCAATTTTTACATTTCGGAAATTCCAAATATACCTTAGAGATGTGTATTCATATATATTGTTAGTCCATGTTATGACTCACCTTAACTGATAACAGCTGTAAAACAGAAAGTAAATTAAGCATAAAACCATCGCCTGCATTTGCTAATTCAACAACTTGAATTTGAGCTCTTTTTTCATTGAATCTTAATACACTAGCTACATATTCTAATAAATGATCTCGAGATGAACCATTAACAAATGTATCATGAAATATTTCATAAAGCAATGCCTGAAAAAAATTTTTTCTAATTTTAAACATAGGTTAATTGTCAATTTTTTTTTTTCTTCTTTTACACTAATCCCTGATAAAAAATTAAAAATTAATTTTTTTCTTGCAATAATGTTAAATTAAAACCTAAATAAAGAGTTTTTAGAAATTTTAAATAAAATCTTACCCTAGTGTGCTCTAATTCACTTTGTAAGGTTTGAACCACAGCTTTGTCAGCAGAAGTATTTCCAGAAAAAAACTTCTCAGCAACTTTAGGTTCATCTTCAGCGAATACAGAAACAGATAAAAATGGACCTAAGAATGAAGTCTTTGAAATTTCTCTACCTTGAACTCGAGTTACAGGATCAGGCAAAAACTGAGTTTGTTCTACTATCAGTTTACAAAAAGGGCGAACATTTCCTACTTTAATGTCAGTCAACTCTGCTAATACTTGCAAAGGTGCTCTATGACTACTAGCAACAATCGAAGAGCTTTGCATTATTTGAAATAATCCCTGAAGTAATGGAGTAAATATCTAAAATAGTAATAAAAAATCATTGAAATTTTTAATTTTTATATATTTTATCATTTAATTCAAAAAAAATTCTTACTTTGCTAAATATTATTGTATTTTGATGTGTTTTGGCAACCAATTCTAGTAAAAATCCACGTGGTACAGTTTGAGTTAAGAGTGGAAACAAAAGAGGGCTGTTTTTCGGAGAAGACACTGCAATTATTTCTTGAAGGATGAGTGAAGCATATTGAACACATTGTGACCTGATTTCTGCCAAAACTTCCTTTAAAGGAGTGCTGCTGCATTTCTGAAATAAAACTCAAATAAATTATGATAAATCATTGTACATAACTCTTAATTGAATGTAACAAATATGCATGCCAATATTTATTTTTTACATTTGAAATTTAATCTTGAAAAACACTTTAAATAAATAAGAATAATTGAACTCACTAAAAAACCGAAATTATCATATTATCATTACTAAAAAATAAAAAAATAGTAGCAAAGTTAGCAGTAACAAAGATGAGTATTTAAAATTTAAAAAGCATGCTTTACCTTAGGATGATTTCTTTCTTCTAATGATACTCTTGAATAACAGTTCATGAGATAATATAAACCATCAGTCTGCTTTGTAATATTATTTTGATTGTAACAATTATCGGGTAAACAAGTGGAATTGACAGGAGTGCTTGGAAGGTCAGGACTGCTTGGAGAAACATCATTAGGTGTTATTACATTCTGTGGTACTCCATGTAATGGATCTAATCCACTAGCAAACTGACATAAAATTTCCATTAAAGACTGACTGATTAAATCTTGATAATCTGGGTTTAAAGCATCAGTATTAAATAAAACATTATTAGCAGGCAACAACACAGTTCCTTCATTTTGTTCATTCCAAGAAACACATAAAATTCTACTAATTGTTGTGACAACTTTTTCCGTGTTTCCTTCATTGGAACTAGAAACTCTATTTATTTCAGTGTTTTCAAATTCTTTCCTTTCTGATTCCTCAACTTCCATATTTTCAATTCCGGAATCAACATCTAAAATTTCTTTGCTTTTTATTTTATTTGTATTTGTTTCTTCTAACTCTGAAGTGTCCATTACCCAGGAATTATCTTCTCGCATTGATACTCCTAAAGTAGCTGATTGCACCATGGTGGATGAACCTGGAGTAGGAGGTGTCGAAACACCAACAAGTGGCGTAGTATTAATAAGATCTCTGGATGGTGAAGAGTTAGAAGAAGAATCTAATGCAGATAAACGCAAAAGACGACGACGTCGAATCTGTAAAATAAGCGAATATTAAAAGCGAGTTAAAAGAGCCTAAATTTGTATGACAAAGCAAAATTCAATATTGCTTCACGATCAAATAAGAAATATCAGTGAATTTCGAGCCCTTATTACCTCTTCTTGACTTAATTCGTTCATTTTTTATTTTAAAATACTTCAACATTAACTTTAATAAATTTTATTAAATTCTCCTTAACCCAACAAACTAGTATTTTTACTGACATCTTTCAAATGTACCATTTTTTTTTCCTTTTTGTTTATGGTGACTATAGATTTAGAGCAAACATGTTTGCCAACTAATAAAACATAAAACTCTCCGTACCATTTGTAAAGGTATTGGTACAGGTCACTTACGAAAACCATAAATTAATTAATGTAAGCAGTGACTTACGAAATATTAAATAAAATTAATTAAATCGAATATATTTCAATCATGTATTTTATTTCGATAAAACATATAATTATCAGTAAATTGTCTTTTATGGATATATCGAAATTGAATACTCATAACTATACTATAGGCTAAATGACACAAAAATTCCTTATAGGATCACGATGTTAATTTAATTTAATGAGTGGCATAAAATAAATCGCAACTGTAGTTTATATAGTGAGAAGATGTAAATAGTTAGAATATTTTTTAAAACTAAAAATTTCATTTTTAATCGATGCAATATAAATTCATTTAAAATAAAATTTTCCGTTTTTTTTTTTTTTTTGCTTTTCAGACTTGCATTATGGATCAAGCTACGTCAACTTCTCTCGGAAAATTGATTCCATTTGAGCAGACAAGTAAGTTATCGATTCCTTAATTTTTAAAATTATTAAAAAATAAAATCACGTCATTTGTTTTTTACAATTAAATAAATTTGAATTGTAGGTGCAAGTGTTCAGAATCTCCTACAGCTTAGTTGTGTCGCTCGTAATCACGCATATGCTCCCTATAGTAAATTTGCAGTAGGAGCTGCATTACTGTGCAGAGATGGAGAAATATTTCAAGGTTGTAATGTTGAAAATTCTAGCTATGGTTTGTCAGTTTGTGCTGAGCAAACAGCCATTGTCAAAGCTATAAGCTCAGGAAATAGAAATATTTCTGCCATAGCAGTTGTTGCAGATTCAAATTCATTTGTAACAACTCCTTGTGGTAAATGCAGACAATTTATCAATGAGTTTGGCACTCAAATTGATGTATACTGTGCTAAAACAGACTTAAAGGAAGTATTATTGAGCAACATATCAAATTTACTTCCTTACAGCTTTCACATAATGAGATAAAATGTAATAGTTTATCAAAGCATGTTTTGATTTCAAATTATAAGTAAAGATTATCACTTATTAGAATTTTAGTTTTGTCTACGTTTCCTTTAATTGCTTAAAAAATTTAAGATATGTTTTAGGTGCTGTTTATTTATAAATTTATTACCTGGCTAAAAATATTCAATGTAAAACTTTAATCAATAAATTTTCAGTTTTATCAAATAATGTACAAAAAAAAAAAAAAACAAAATTGAAATTTTTTAATTATGTAAATTTAGCAATTTTATCTAAATTCCCATTAGTTGCAATTTTTTTTTAAATAAAGCATATATCAAGGTCAATTATTTAATGTTTTTGAATTTACTTAAATAAAAGATAAAAATGACTATGTGGCTTTCTTATAACAATATAATTTTATTTTAATTACAAAAACTATATTTACAAATAAGGCTAAAGCTTTACAAAAGAAAATTCAAAATCTGGTAAATAATCATTAAAATTGACAATAATTGATAAATTACTGATTATGTTTTCTTATTTATTTATAAAAAAAAAAAAGAAAAATAAAGGAATAAATTACAATTGGCTACCAAAAAGGACACCTAAAAAAAGAGAAAACCATACATTGAAAATATCATTAGATAAATGAGTATTTTAATTATATAATATCTTACCATCCGATATAGCACTGACAGAGATTTTCATTTGATGTTGCTTCGTAAATGAGAAAACTAACTTGCTTGGGAACTTCTAAAGTTTCTTCAGAACAAAAATCTCGACCAGTTAACTTATCCCTTACTCTAGTCACAATGGCCAAAGCTTTTTTATTTAATGCTTCAGGTTGATTTTTATCACCTGAAAACCCATGCAATCAAATCCAATATAAATAATTTTTATATGTGTTGTTAACAAGTATAATTTTTTTTTTTTTCCTTAATTTTATATAAGGCAAATTAATAATTATTTTAAATTGAGAAATAAAAATAATAAATAAATTTTTACTTACCATTATCTTGGCTGGAGGTAGTTGGAGCTCCTTTTTTAGGCAATGAAGGAGCCAATGAATCTGTACCATCCATTCCATCACCTTCCTGAGCTGAAGAACTTATGGATGAATCCGTCGTTTGTTTTGATCTTTTCGTTTTTGGAGTTGATTCCATTAATCTCCAATTAAGAAGAGGATCGTAAACGAATGCTTCTAGGACAGCCATTAAACTGTCCTTATTATGTCTTAAAACGGACATGACGGATTCGCATGTTTTCCTGTACGTTCCTTCGATTCCCGTAACCTATGGAAATAAATAAATGTATTTAATTTCAAGTAACTTATACATTAATTTTTATATTAAATTTTATATTAACTTACTTCCATTGCGTTAATTAACATTCTTGTTAATCTAAATGGAATTTTTTCTGGAAATTTTTCCCTTGTCATGGCGACTTCAAAGCAATCCCCAAAATCAATATGCAAAATTTTACCACTTAATCTATCCAGCATAAGATTAGAAGGATGTCGATCTCCTAAACCGAGAATGTAACCAACCATTGACATTACGGCAAGAGATCTAGTATAATTTGTTCTTCTATCAAACCATAATTCAGACGAAGGGGATTTTAGCCATAATAATCGAGCCAAATCATCTCCTTGAGTAGTTTCTAAAGCATGTTCAAAAACTTCAACTTTTTGCATTAAAGTTAAATGATCGTAGTCGGGAGCCATCTGTAAAAAAAAAAAAAAAAAATTTATTTTATTTTGGTTTTTACGTACGTAAAATAAATAAATAAAGAAAAAAAAAATTAACTTACTCTAAGCATTATTCGGTATTCAATATTAAGTAAAATTTTTTTCTTTTCCCTGTAGTCTCGTATAAGTGTATGTAATGTATCGCAATGAGGGACCCAACCGATGAGACCGCTATTCGTTGAAAGAGGAATAACTGCGTACCTCTGGATTGTCAAATTTCGGCGAAATGTATCGGAATCATGAAGAAGTAAAGTGTTTACGAGGCCAAACAATTGCATAACTCTTTCGTCTTGTCGAAGATCTTCGTGACCTTTTAAAAGGAACATGTAATCTGCTCCGTTGCTTCCTACAATCAGAAATTATGTGAAATTTTCAAATAAAGGGCAAATGATATTATTAAATTTTATTCAAATACCTTTAATTCCTAATTTTCTGGGACGTTGTTTGGAACTGATTACTTGTAAAGCCGGTTGAATATGAGTTATTCTGACAATAGGTTGACCTGGTGCATAACTTCCGGGTACAGCCAATTCCAAGTCTCGACATAAAAGTAATTTAGGACTCACATATTGCAATTCTAAACTGGTCAATTGAGGTAATTGTCTCGCAATACGACGAAAAACGTGATAGTATAAATCCCAAGCTTGATTCAAATCTCGAACATTTCCCGATTGCTTATACCTATGACACCACTCTTGAGCAACCGTAAGATCTCTACCGTAAGTCTGCAAATAAGTATGCAAATAAAGATTTAACCTGAGAATTTTTAATCTCCAATAATAATAAATTAATATAAATTCACCTGATTAAAAGAAGTCTCCTTAAGAGTTTGTGGACCTCTTTCAAGCATTGCGTGAAGAGGTTCTAACGTATCCAACATTCCCTTAACATTTCTTTCTCCAAAATATAACCGACTAGCTTCCTCCAAACCCTGATGCCAAAGTTCATGCCACAAAATTGCTACACGAATAAGTTCATCAGAAACCATGACAGCTTGCTGTACCAAAACAGGACTATGCTCACACATTGACTTTAAAATTTTGTTTGCTGCTGTTCGGCGAAACGAGCTGGCAGATTTATTAGCAACAGTTAACGGATACACTAAAGCCTAAAAAAAAAATTATAAATATGGTTTATAATAATTTTTGCATTAGAAATCCAATAGAAGTATATATAATATGTTTCTTACTTGAGGATGATTTTTGCCGATGTCTATTAGTAACTGATGAATTAACATGCTAACTAAAGCTCTAGGAGTATCTATTCGAGCTATGAGTTGAGGTATGACTTGTAACCAGGTATCAATTTCAATTATATTTAGTCCACTGACAATGGCATCATAAACATCTGTGTATTGTCCATAATCAAACCATAGCGTCAATAATCGAAGTGTATCCTGTAAAGAGCTACCTTTTGATAAAGATATAGATCTTACGAATCCTTCAACAGCAGGAGCAGCAAATTTGTATATAAATGCCTCTCTTCCCTATAAATATTAAATATAAAATCAATACTAATTATTCAATTATAAACTGCATAAAAAAGTGTTTAATATACAAACCTCGGTATTTTTTAAAGTTCCTGATTTCTGTTCACCCGAACCGTCTTGATGCTGATGTTTATAAAATAAAACGGTTTCAAAATTCATATAAGCCCAAGCATGCCACGCTTTATACCATTGAGGATCGTGATCTGCAGCAGCTGCATAACACAGCAAAACTGCAGCAATACTTTTTTCATTTACGCCTTGCAACGCTTCTTGCCATTCACCGAGCTTCAAGTAACATCTTTTAAAATAAGCATAACAAAAAAAGCAAAATTAAAAAAAAATTTCAAAAATACTCTGAATTATTTTATATCACATTAAAATATCGCACAAAAATATTCAATAATATAATTAATTTGAAGATCACCTTGCTAAAAGTCTTTTTTGCTCATCCATTTCTTTGTTACATTGTTGAATTTGTGGTCTTAAACAGGAGTGAACCAGTCGATACAATTGATTATAGGCTTGCTCCCTACATCCTGCCACCCACATATGTTTTGTGTATGCAAAAGTAACATTTGGATTTTGAGTAGGAAGTACAGCATCCAGATCTCCAGAAGGATCTTTTCCCAAAAGCATTACTAGTGTTTTATGCGACAGCATCTGTATTTAAAATTTTTTTTATTTTTTATTTTTGTTTTTACTATTAAAAACCTGGACAATTTTATCTAATTAAAATAATAAAAATAATTAATTTTGAACACTTAAAATATAAAAAGTAATTTTTTAATAAAAAACAAAATTATTGTATTATTTACAAAATTTAATTTTAAAAGATTAAATTACAAAGGTCATGATTGGTCAATAATTGATGGCTTTGATTGACGTACCTGCCATTATTCAGAGTAGTCTCCTCCCCCCTTTTTTTTTTTATTGTAAATATTAAGAGCGAAGTAATTGTCATTAAAAAACTAATTTATTGTATTTAATATTTAATTTATTATTTATTATTTAATTTTCAATTAAAATTTCTTTTACGAATTATTTAACAAAATTAAGTGATTTACCCTAACGAAATTCTTCCTGTTTTTTCCTTCTTCAAATTTCCGTTCCGTTTCAAATAATTATTGATTGATTTTTTTTGTAATGAAGAATTATAAAAGTTAAGTAAAAAGGGAGCTTTTTTGAAGTTTTTTTTTTTTCCCCAAATAATTATGTTTTTCAGATACCTAGAGTAGCAGTAGTAAGGTATAGTAAATAATTTTTAAACTTTTTTAACAAACGTAGAAAATTTAAATCATCTTTCTAAAAATCTTTAAAGTTTACGCAAAATCTTACAGGAACAAATTTAAAAAAAAAAACTTATTTAATCAAAATAGATAAAATGGCTTTTTATACTTACCAGACGATTAGCTTTTCGACATAGAGAAGCATATTTGAGCCAGGTATGTACATCTTCTTGAGGACTTATTACTAGAGTACGAACTTGAATAATTTTTTGCCAATCTTCTACAACTCTTTGGCAGCCAGAAAGCCTTTCCCACCATATTTGTCTAATAATAGGTCTTCTTTCAGGCACAAGTTTATATTGAACTACTTCTTCCAGCTCTGCCAACATTTGTACTTGAACCATAGCTCCGTAAGCACGTTGATAACTTTCTCCAGCTAATGCTGAAAGTTCTGTATCAACCTAAAAAAAAAAAAAAAAAAAAATTAAATAAATAAACATCTTTAATATAAAAAAATTTTTTTTAAACAATTGTTTTGAGAAAAAAAAAATAATCTCACTAAATCTCGAGCTGAATCAATAAATTGTTGAGCTACGGCAAAATGCTCTCTATGAACAGCCAAGACAGCCCTAAAAAAAGCTCCATCCTGTGAATCTTGAGGGATACAACTAACGTATTGCTCCATCGAATCCCATTTACCAAGACCCCAAGCAGCTGCTGCAGCCATTCTTGACATTCTTTGGCGTCCTTCATCATTCCAATTAGACCAGTGCTTATTTGCTACATCGTGCAATTGATCCCTGAAACATAAAAAGTAGTTCATTAGTCAATATTTTAATGTAACGGTTTAAATTATTTAATTATTACATTGACGAAAAGGTTCCATGAAATTTTGGCATTGCCTTAACATGTTTGACTTCAAATTTGTAGAAAAATTCTTGACGTGCGTATTAAACTTACATGACACGTGGCACATAACTCAAGAAAGACTAAATATGATTTAAAATGATAGAAAAAAAACTTTAAATAAAATACCATTCTCCAAGAGCTTCCATGCATCTCATTTGTCCCAAAGTAAATTCAACATCGTGTGGATTTTCATCTAATCTTTCCTGATAAGCTGCTTTTGCTTTTTCCCAATTGTGTAATTTTTCATACCATATTTCTTGATCTCTGAGAGGTTCCCCTGCTCCTTGAATACTTAATATATGTTCCAGCAGCCCTAAAAAAATTTATAAAATACAGTCGATGTTACCAAAGGAAACCAAAGCATATACATTTTTACCTACCGACGGCTGCTTCTTTTTGTTGAAGTTTATTGTTAATTGAAATCAAAGCTTCATAAATTTGAGTATTGGGAGTTTTTTGCCTATGAAATTCTTCTTCTTTATAGTGCAAAGCTTTTGCATAGGCTCGACAATGCATGGCACGTTCCCCGAGCAAAATAGGGTCGATAGGCAAAGCCTTATTATCACAATGATCCATAAATTCGGCGAGGTTAAGTATGGTCTATAAAAAAAAAAAAAAAAAAAAAACCGCATCCGAAGCATTAGAAACGAGGTAAAATTTTAACAGGAGCTTACAAACGAATTCGAACCTGAGTTAATTCTGGTAGATCTGGAACGAGTAATGCTTGTTCTAAACTTTGAATTAATTCTTTTTGTAAAGAATCATTTAATTCAGTCCAACAAGAAACAAATGCAGCATTGAAAAGGTCTCGAGGAAGTTGAGAATATGTTTGTGCTAACGCCCAACAAGATCTAAAAAAATAAAAAGTTATAAAAAGTTTTCTGTTATGTACGTGTTTTTACTAATTTCAAATTATTCAACTAGTAAATTTACTCAAAAAAAAAATTCACTTACTTTAAGGCAGGAGAAGGAGATTCTTTTAATAATTCAATACTTAATCTTCGCAACCATTCTAACCAATCATCTTTTGAAACTCTTCTACTCGCCGTCCATGCTCTTTGCAAATTAACTGCTGAAACGTGTAACTGTTAAAAGTAAAAAAAGAATAAATACAACAATAAACATTAGAAAACACATAAAACATGAAATTTAATAATTATTTACCCTTTTAAAAGTAGTAGAATCCGATTGGCTTGGATCGGATCCTTTATTTCTATTTCTAGGTAAAGTACTTTTATAAAAATTTAAATCTATTTCGCCATCCTCACTGATTTTATCGTTTTGAACATTTGACCAAACCATTTCATATCTTGGTGATTGAATTTTATGTTTAGTCATAACCTGAAATCACAAAAATATAAAATATTAGTTTAAAAAAATTTTTTTTTTTTTTTTGTTTTTTATTTAAGATTTTTACTGAAACTTTATACAACGAAAAGTACATCTTTTACGTCAAAAACAGTGAAGAAAGCAAATTGTTTAAAAAAACACCATTAACTATTTCAGCTTCTTGTCTTAAATTTTTTATTAAAAAAATGAAACAAATGTCGCAAAAATTTTAAAATTAAAAAAATTATTACACAATTAATAAAATTACCTTGTGAATTAATGGCTCAAATATGGAATATTTTTTTTTGCCCAATTGGGTGACAAGAGCACAAAGTGTGTCTATGGCCACTTGCCTGAGCTCTGGACTTGTGTCTAACGCTCTTGCTAAAGGATGAATTATTCTAGAAGCGAAGTCTGAAAAATCTAATATTTCAGCTAGACGGTCAACCTGAAAAAATTAAATATATATATATATATATTAGTGTAATAAAAAATTTTCTAAACCAACAAATTAAAATTTAATTAAAACAAACCGTTTCAAAAGCGTGCTTGCAAACTGCACTGGGACAATCCCGGGCGTCGAATAATCGGACTACTGGTGGTAAAATTAAATGGAGGTAATCATCCAAGTTACTTCCCAAGTTTTCCAAACAACTTAACAATTTCATTGTAACAAGACGATCTTTACTAGTGTCATGAGTTAAAACTCGTAAAATTTGTGGTAATAATTGAGGTAAATAAACTTTAAATTCTGCTCCTAAAGCAATGGCAATCGCCTCAACCAAGGATATTAAAGTTCCCTGTAACGGACTATTCGGTGTCCAAAATTCCTAAAATAAACATAAATTTTGTAACTAAAAACACAATTTTTTTTTTTTTTTTTTTTGATAAATATTAAAAAATTGTAAAATGTAATACGTTTTACCTTTATCAGGAGAAATAGATCGTCCAAATAATTTCGAATGTGTTGTTTTACGATTGAAATCAAATCGCCCAATCTTTGAAGTAAAAATTCTTTAAACCCAACATCTGAATTTCGGATTACATGTAGTAAACTTGGCATAACTTGACCGATGTAGGGCACGCATTTAATTCCAAGAGAGTTAAAAATGAAAGTTACAGCCTTAGTAAGTAAAATAATAATCATAAATTTTTTTTATTAGCACCGGAAATTTTTAAACTTTGTGAAAAAAAAATTAACATAATTATTATTTACTTATTTGTCTCTTATTTGTCTACAAAACTATTGTTCTGGTGATATAATATATTTGAGAACCTAATTTGTATTTAAAATTTTAGATACCTGAACAACCATTGTATGATGTTGAGCCAACGTGGGATCTCTGATAATTCGCATTAGAGTGGTTACCGCAGCTGCTGGATAAAATTCTTCCAATGTTGCCGCACTAGAATTAACTAGCATTTCACTTGTATTCAGCTCTAAATTTGATTCCTCATTTTTTAAATCTTTGTTTGCAAAAAAAGAAGTCGAATGAGCTTGCGAGTCGATTTGTCCTTGATTTAATTTATGACGATAAGGATCAAGTGCACCTAATAGTCCCAAAACACGAATCGTCTCTCTCCTGAAATTTAAATTACGTATGAACACTGTAATAACAGGCAATAATTAGAGTAAAAAGGTTGTACACCAACCGAATGGCTGGTTGTTGTTCAGTTTTTAAAAAGTTGATTAATACATCTAGTAAAGTTGGATATTTGTGGTAGGGTGTAACGACTAAACCGGCTGCACCGACTAACTGTCCAAGACACCATAAAGCAACGCCTCGTCTTTCAGGAGAACTGCTATCCCCCAAAAGTTCTAACAGAATAGGAAGCAATTCATCAGCCCATGATCTCATGGCTGCACCATTAACCTGCATAAAAAATGGAACTAAGTTTAAAGTTAAAAGATAAAGATTAAAGACCAATTAATATATATTCAATAAAAAATTCTTAATGTTTAATTTATTTATTTAATTATATTTTTTGATACTGCATGAAACCTGTAATGTGGCATTAGCCTTTTTTTCTTTTTAAAAAAATTATTTTTTCCCCTAATGTGTATTATTATGATAAAAAGCAAATAACGCATATAAAAAAAAAAAATAATGATTTATATATGTGTGTATGTATGAGTATATAAGCACCTCAGATAAATCTCCAATAGCTGTTAAAATATGAACAACCACCGCTGGATTCGGTTCTGCTTCACGGAGCTTAGGCACCAATATTTTTAAAATTGGCTCCATATACGGTCTAACCAGTCTCGGAGAGCTTACAATTAATTTATCAAGCATTCTAGCACTTTGTTCTTTATTCCTTCCCATACCACTATGCTCTAACTCGGTGAGAAATTGAATTAATGTTTTTCTTAAAGATGGCATCACATAAGCCGGATTAAGAGTACTAAGTCTTCCAATTGTGCTCACGGCTAATTCTCTAATTTCAAATATTTCATCGTTCATGGCAACTAATAACGCACTGATATTTTCTGCTTGCGCAAGATGTTGATCGAAACTGGAATCTAATGATTCTAACACCCAATACCGAACTTCCGGATCTAAAAATATATTCAAAGATAAATATTATATAATTTAAGATAAAAGGACAATTCTCAGAAATATAAGAAACAAAAAAAAAAAAAAAAATTACCCGTATCCGTTATCCCTACGGTCAATAACTTGGACAAAACGTCTGCAACTGTTGAATTAACGGTTTCGGATCTTCTTCCCTGTAATGCTAATCTCAAAAGCCGACTGCATGTTCTAACTGTTTCAAGACGAACTTCTTGCAAATCACTGGTCAAAAAGTGATCAGCGCATCGCCTTACAAATTGCAGCATGCTGTGACCTTCAAAATTAAAACTTCCCAAAGTCCGTAAGGCTAGAGTTGTACTAGCTGTATCTTGAGGATCACTGAACATTTGAAAGTAAAAGAAATTTCCCTGCAGGAAGAAAACCGTTCAAGATGAAAAAAAAAAAATATTATTAGGAAAAAAAAAAACTAAATTTTTAAAAGTAAAAAAAATACCTGAGGTGGGCTGGGACCCATTAAGGCGTGTCTAGGAGTTCCTGGATGTCGCAAAGGTTTGTGCATTAACACTTGAGAAAGCATTTTTAAAAGGCCTTCAGATATATCTCTCTTTAGTTGTGGCACAGTTGCGGCAAGTTCTCTCAGAGCCGTTGTTAAACCGGGGCTTAATCCAGTAGCCAACATAGCTTCTAAAAGATCTCTAACATCATCTTTAACCAAATTAGGAACGGCATGGCCTAACAGCGTAATACAAACCAAAACGCCTGGTTCAGGTCCTAATTTTAAAAGTACATAAAAATGAATTTAAAAATTTAAATAATCCTTGATCATGCATTTTTAATTTAAAACACATAACTACAATATAAAAAATTTTAAAAATAATTATACTTCACTTTTTTTATTGTTATTAAAAAAAAATTTTCTTGTACTTACCAGGGGGTCCTCTTTTTTTAGTTGTAATATCTTTAGAAACAGGCAAAGATACTTTCAAGAACTCCATTATTTTAGGCAAATACGGCCGAATACCGTCCTGAATAGCAACAGCCACCAGTCCGATCGTTGTAAAAGACAATGCTCTTTCTTTTTCACGACCTCGCAAGCTAGCCAGTAGATAACTCATACTACCATGAAGATGCCTGAAAGAATAAATAAAAAGTATTAAGACATATTTAAATATAATAACAAATAATGCTTTGCACCTTTTTGAATTTACACAATTTTATTTTAATGAAAATTTATCAACTTTATTGTAACATATTATTTTTAGAAAAACAAAAACAAAATTTTTTTAATTTATCAATTTAAATTTTTTATTTCAATATTAATATACTTGTTAAATTAAGATTGGATAATATTATAGAATGCTTACATGGAAACAAATTTGTCTTTGTTGAAAGCAGCTAATCTTGGCAATAAGGCTAAAAGAGCTTGTTGTACATAAGGACTCCTAGATAGTCTTTGAGCTAAAGCTTCAGTACAAATTTCATCCATTTTTTCAGATACAAGTTGCTTACAAGCAGAACTTTCACACATAATTTGGTTGTGATTAGAACCGGATATTACCAATGCCATACTTTTTTGATTTCGACCTAAAGGATACTTTAATCTTGGTAACAAATTCATTCCTTCCTGGAAAAAAATTAAATTTTAGTATTGTTTTCAGTTTTTCTTATGTGTTTACTTCAACATTACTTGAAACATATTTAATTTGAGTCAATAATCTGCAATTAAAAAAAATATAATTTGCGAGTGTGGATACTAAATACATATTACTTAAACTGAAACTTAACTGTTTGATGATTAGTTTTGGATGTTGGGTTAAACAATTTAGAATTGAGCTCTTCTTGTAGTCTTTCCCATTTATTATTTGCACACCTAAGAAGCTCATTAAGTACCAGTAATGCTCCATGAACTCTATCATCTCTGTTGAATCCCTTTTCTCTGACATATACATCTTCCAATCCTTGTTTAGCCTCATCAAAACACTGCTTGTACCATTGTGGTCTTTGTGCTTGTTTAGTTGTTTCTCTTTGAGCTATTACTACCAAAGCAGCTCTAAGAGCATCAACACCTGCTTCTCTAATGACAGCTTTTGGATCTCTTATTGCATTAAATATTAAGTCAAAAAACAATTGAACTTGTTGAAAAAAATATGTAGGCATTGATATGGCCAATTCTTTTAAAACTAAAACAGCAGCATGTCTTTTATTTTCATGCCTCTCACTTCCTAACCATTCAAAAGCTCTTTTAACTTCAAATTCAACATATTCCGCTGTACAAGTGCCGGATACCAAAGCTAGTTTTCCAACGGTTCGCGCTGCAAGCTCCATTACTCCTACATCGTTGGATGGAAGTAAATTTCTTAAATAATTCATGAATCGGGAAATTCTAGTACTCGTATTTCCAATATCTACACCAATAATGCATTCTAAAAAATAATTGAATAAAGATGTAGAAAGGTACTGAATTAATAATTAAATTAAAATCATTTTTCTTTGAGTAAAATCTAAATATTTTGTTTACCAATTGCCAATATACCGCCTTTTTTTTCATTAACGTCAGATCCCGAGACCATTTCGAATATATGCCGGTTGAATTCATCCATAAAAGCTGTAAGTTCCTCCGGAGAAACTTCTCGCAATTCTGTTTTTACGTACAAATATAGGTCTTTGGCAGTTTTCATGCGAACATCGGCATGACGAGATTTTAAACCAGAAACAAATTGCTGCATAAGAGCGTTAGACATTTTGGGGAAGAAGTAAAAAACGATTCACAATATTTTCAAAAATCAAATTTCAAGTAATTTTTTGTGATAAAAGTAATGAAAAAAATAATATATTTGGATCCACTTTTTAGTACACATATCTCTTAAGCTTATAAAACAGTAAATCGTTTATCAGCTGTCACAGAGTTCGACAAAATTCACGCTTTTTAAAGAGAGAAAATTGTCGCCAAAAAACAAAATAACTATTAGACCTCCAAAAAAAACTGACCTATACTGAGCTTATTTTCCACGATTCGCCAATGATGCAATATTTCACGTGCGCACTACCAAATTCTTTCTGCTAAATTATTCTTCAGTTCGAGAACAGTTATTCGAAATTTCTAAAATTTAAATTTTCAAGGTAGTTTATAATTTTTCTACATTATTAATTTTTTTTTTAATTTTATCTTTTATTTAATACAAAATTTTTGTAAGCACGTACGCTCTATGCCTTTAACAGGGGCATTCGAATTGATAAGTAATTGATATGTTCTAAAAAAATTAGAGGATATTTTGATAAAAATATATCGAATTGATAAAAATTGATCGAAAAATTAAAATTTAGAGTTTTTTCTACCAAAAAAATTCGTTAATAAAGCATTTTGAATGTAATATTTAAGATTTACAATTATTTATGTTGTAGAAAAAATGGGTGAAGGAAACGTAGAAAAAGGTAAAAAAATTTTCGTTAGAAGTTGCTCTCAATGTCACACAGTTGAAAAGGGTGGGAAACATAAAGTTGGCCCAAATTTAAATGGTTTGATTGGTAGAAAAACTGGTCAATCTCCAGGTTACACATATACTGATGCAAATAAGTCTAAAGGTTAGAACTCATGAATATAAGTAGTAAGTAATGTTGAAATCAAATAATTGAAATAATTATTGGTTTTTAGGAATCACTTGGAACAGTGAAACTTTATTTTTATACCTTGAAAACCCTAAGAAGTATATTCCTGGCACAAAAATGGTTTTTGCTGGCCTTAAAAAGGCTCAAGAAAGACATGACTTGATTGCCTATCTTGAAGAAGCTACCAAATAATTCACTGACAAAATGTTAGTAAAAGTTTTTCTACCAAAAACTTGGCTGTAGAAAGTGTAGGAAATATTAGCTGGTGTCAACTAAGCTTTAAATTAATGTTATGTGATAATTTAAAATTGTTTTATTTTAATTTTTTCTATAAATAAGTTCAACAGCTATTTATTGTATTTGAAAAAAAAAATAAAATAAAACTCAGTATTTAAAAATTTTTTAAAAATTTATTATCATTTATCCTTTAATTTATTTTAATCCGAAAAAAACTTGAAGTTTAATTTACAATTTATATATATTGTTTATCAATTTATTCATATTGGTTTAAAAAAACACAAAAAGATATTTATATTTATATATAAATCTGTTATTTTTGTCATTTTTATTAAAAATAATTTGCTTCAAAATCATCATATTTCTAATATCATTATTTTAAATACTGTCATTGATTTTAATTGCATAAATAAAAAAAAAAATTAAAATTACTAAGTCAATTGAATATTAAAAATTGTGTTTATTAGTTTAAAAAGTTTTTTTTTTTTTTTTTGTTCTTATTCTTCTTGTTCTTTTTCCTCTTCCTTTTCCTCCTGTTTTTCTTCGCCTTCTTCTTCGATTTCCTCCTCTTTACCCGAAATCGTATTTCTAGTACGCATAGATGAAACTGCACTGGAAACAACACTTGAAACGTATAACTCTACCGCATCATCATCCATTTGATTTTTTAATGCATTTTGAATTACGTCAATGAGTATTTCGTCTGCTATCACTTCCGCTGACGTAATTCTTGTACATCTATTTACCAACTCTGAAATTTTTTTCTTTTTTAAATAACCTCTTGCTGTTTCTTCCAGGTTAGTTAAACTTTTATGATGTAGTGCAATGAAGTCTAATATTTCCCTTCCCTTTGTTGGTTGTGGGTTAAATGCATTAAAATTGAACCATTCTTTCATTTTATCATCAAAATCTAATTCTGAATCGGTACCAAAATACAGTCTTCTTGGCAATCGGCTTACTTTAGACAATGCTCCCAAAGCTTGCTTAGTTAATTCGGTCAAGAATTTTACCCAAAATGGCTGACTATAAGGTGGTATAATTCTACTTTCTTCTTCGCTTGTTTCGTCTACTAATTCTTGTATCACTATCGGTGATGGTTTTTTAGGTTTTTTACGAACAGTTTTACTTTTCAAATCTTTTTGAATTTGATTTTCAACCTCAATTTCATTTTCATCGACTTTCATACTTTTTTCTTTTTCTTTTGTACTATCATGTTCGATTGTTGTATTATCAATTTTATTTTCAATTTTATTTTCAATTTTATTTTCAATTTTAGTTTCATTTTTGCTTTCCTTTTCGCTTTCCTTTTCGCTCTCCTTTTCGCTTTCCTTTTCATTTTCAGTTATATTAATACTTACAGTTACATCGTCATTTAAATTTTTATCTTCATTTCCCGTGTTTTCTGGGTCTGAAAAATTTAAATTGTTGTCTTGGCTGTAAAAGGCAACGTCTGACTTTTTAAACATGATACTTTCAGCGGCATATTCATCATTTTTAATAAAGCTTTTTGAAATTTCTACTTTATGCATTTCGTCTTTTAATGTATTTTCTTTATTTATTACTTCTTCGGAAGGAGTTTTATTTTCCTGAAAACGTTTACAAAATTTAGTAAAATCAAAGTCCGGAGTTTTGGCTATAATTTCTTCGCATTCATCTTTTGGACGTTCTTCTTCAACAGATGAATGATGTTCGGAAGCTCTACTTTCTTCCGGGGTAGATATTTTTTGATTTTTGTATTCCCCTTCTTTTAAAAAAGATTCTTCTTCCTTTGGTTGTTCTTTTGGAGGTGGGTATTCGATAAGTGCTTCCTTAAACATTTCATTAAAATATAAATCCCATAAATCATAAACAAAATCTTTTATTTCCTTCTTCATTTGATTTTCTTCAGATAAAAGTCCTGCCAAGCTTATAGACATGCTTAGTAAAGAAGCCCTCGTGACCAAAGAATGCTTACTTATAAATCCTTTGTAATTAAATTGTTCTCCATCGATCCAATTGTGCACTCGAGTTGCAAATTCCGTTTTTAAATCGCATCCTTCCTCTAATATATAGGATTTCAACCATTTAAAAGATCCAATATCAATGTCTTCTGGTTTTAAAGAAATTCTGTTAGCCAAAATATTAGTTATATTTATTAATTCCATATCAGATCCACAGGGCGATTCAGATCCAGTTTTAGTTTTAGTTTTATTTTCAGTTTCAGTTTCAGTTCCAGGAGTGTGTAAACTTCCTTCCGGGATATCTTCGAGAAAATCCCGTGTTGTCATTCCTACCGGCATATCTTCTAGAGAAGGAGGAGGTGTGGCTGGCTGAAAATCCTTATCAAATTCGCAGACGCAGCAGGGATGACCACACTTACAAGGCGGCAATAAATTATTTCCTTCTAATTTTTCATCTCCTTCTCCTTGAAACTCTTCTATTTTTTTTTCTTTTCCTTCTTCTTCGTCTTCTCCTCCTCCTCGTCCTCCTTCTTCTTCTTCGTCTAATGAGCCTTCTATATCTGAAGGTTCAGGATATATGATTTTAGTAATTATTTTTTGACCTTTAATGCCGCAAAGTTTTAAATATTGTTCATAAAAATAATACATTTCTAAAAGTCCTGCGGTCATAGTGCCATACATAATTTCTTCAATGTGATCAAAAACAATGTCGTCTTTTCCAAATAACAAATTTTTAATCCAAAAAGTTTCTTGCGTGTAAGTCACTTCTTTCAACCATCTTCTAATTTTTTTTTCTATACAAATTCGTTCTTTGGGCTTTTCAGTATTTTCCTTTTTTCTTAGCCATCTTAGTTTAAATCGACTAATTTCAATTAAATCAAGAAGTGGCATTCTTTCACGATTTTTTTTTTTATTAACTTTTTTTAAATCATATCTGCACGTGTTAAAAATATCATGAAAACTAATTTTATTTAATTCTATGAGTTTTGAACCAATACAGCAAATATCTTCGGGAGGATATTTACTTAATAAATCTTCTAAATTTTTTTCTTTTTCTCTTTTTTCCAATTCGCAACACGGTTTTCCTTCTCTCTTGGGAAATTCTTTTTCCACTTCTTCAGTGCTTTTGTTTTCCTCTACCTTCCACGGCGGTCTATCAGAAATATGATAATTTTGTCCCTTGAACGTTTCTTGCAGGACAAAGGATTGAACCCAATTTTGTGTTTTTTCTGTAAACAATTTAATCTCTTTTGACATTATTTTCATTTTAATCATTTTTTTATTACAAAAATTAATCATATTTTTAGCTGTGTGAACAATTTGGTTAATGAATTTTTTGATATACGGTTTGTGGCATATTTCAGATTCCATATCAATGCCTTTAATCATTTTATAGTACAAATCATGTCCCATGGTTTCTCTTACGTCATCTAAGTTTGTCATTCTTGTCAGGACGGCCATTAGTAAATCATACATGAGCACTTCTACTATTTCTGTCGCACTGGGTTTTAAAACTCGATATAAACTTCTATGTAAATTTCTTAAATATTGCGCAGATTCTTCCAAAATTTCTTCAGGAATAGAGTAAAAACCTTGAAAAAATAACTGTAAATTCATTTTTGAAGATATTTCATCCTTATCCAAAACGTCGGCTGCGTGCATTTTTTTCATTAAAGCATCTGTCACTGCTTCCATAATTAATCTAATTATTTGTTCGGTCAAAGTTTCAATTATTTTGGGTTTTTTCGGAGGTGGAGCTGTTTCAGCATATCTGACATCAACGTCTTCAACATCTTCAAGATCCAATTTTCCACAGCTTTTAATTTCAATTTTTTTTAACGGGCATTCATGCAAAGTTTCAATATTTTCAAGGAATTTTAATACTTTTGAACCTTCTATTAATTGTCCAAAAGCAACGTAATGAGTATCCATCCATTTGCTGGGTTTTAGTGTTATTATAAACTGTGAAGCATTCGTGTGTCTTCCCTTGTTGGCCATCGACAAAACTCCTCTTCTATCATGACTAATACCAAAACATTCATCTTCCAGAAAATCGCAAAAGGTGCTAAATCCTCCGCCTCCGGTTTTATATTGAATGTCTCCTCCTTGTAGCCAACCTTTTTTAACTACGCGATGAATCCGACTTCCTTTATACGAAAGAAAAGAACCTTTATTTCCCAAGCAAAGGTTTTTAAAATTTTCACAAGTTTTGGGCACAAGATCAGAGTACAATTGAAAAGTTAGTGTGCCTATATATTCATCATCTACGCAAATATCTAGATAGCAATAAATCCTCTGGAAAAAAGATAAAATAATGCCAATGATTGAGCAAGAGGTATTTTTTATATTTTTAAATTTTAAGCTTGTAAAAATAATAATAATTTAAAATATTTCGTTTCATTGCGGGAGTAGTTGCCAACTTCTTTTTTGAGAGTTTGGTGTAATCCCAGTTTTTGATGGATTCTAGGGCAAAAATAAATATAAATGCAGTAATTTAAAAAATAAATCTTACAATTTTTTCTATATATATATACGTTTAATTAACCGTTTTTTTTTTTTTCTTTAATTAGTTAAATCAAAAACGTATACCTTAGTTTTTTTTAAATAAGAAATATAGTCTCTTCTAAAATGATCTTTAATAAAGTATATATTTTTTGAAGGAATACATTCTAAAAAAATATCCCCAATATTAGTAAGTTTTATGAGTTCTAAATCACTTCCTACAAACAAATCATCGAAGAAAACAGCAACAGGTCGTCGAAGGCACCAATAATCTTTACCAAGGGTCTGCAATATTAAAAGTAATCTTAAATTTATCTTAGAATTAATTAAAATTAAATTCAATTAAAAAAAAAAAAAATTTATTTTCCCAAACTGTTATGAAATATATATAAATAATATTTATATCAACCTGTCGCCACTCCAACAATTTTTCATTCCAATCCAATTCGAGTAAACCTATTATTTCTGGCAGGGGAAATCTTAGTGGCATCCTTTTATGAAGTTCTAATGCACAATATTTGGCTCTTTGAAAAGCAAAACTTGGTATAACTCCAACAATGCTTAATTTTTTAATTTTTAAAAATTTTATCACTTTCTTGTCTTGCATTTTAACAATTATATTTTGTATATTTAAATAAAGTAAATTAATTAATGTATATTATAAAAAAATCATACTGTAGTAAAAATAATAAAATGTATATACATATAGTTTTATAAATAACTTTTTGAACGGAAATATAAATAAATAAAAAAATAAAAAATTAAAATAAAATATAAAAAAAAAAAAATCTATTGCCACGGCAATAAATGGGACCTTAAAAAAGATTGAATGCCGAAACTTTATAGAGTACAGTAAAAGCATTCAAGTCATTTACATTAAATGAATATTAAATCATAATAATAATAATAATAATAATAAATAGATAAAATTCTCAAATATCGAATTCTTTAAAAAATTAATTAAACGTTCAATTCCATATAATATTTAAACATTGTCGTTAAAGATATCATGACGTAAACAACAAATCATTTGTTATGACTATGCCATTATAAAACAAATAACACACATGTCTAATAGAAACTAAATATTTAGTCAAGTAGTGTTTTGCTCTAATATAAAAATAAAAATTTTTTTGTTTAATTTAATGAATAAATAGAATTTAATGAATTAGAAATAAATTACAATAAGCAAAATTTACAATTTTTTTTTTTTCAAATTTAATTACCTTTCATTGAACATTTTTTCCAGGCAAATAAACCTTTTCATTTCACCGGTGATGGTTCAGGACATAATATGCAAAAAATAATTTTAAAAACTGGATTTTAGTACCTAAAATAAAAATACATGTAGACAATCAACTTTGAGTGTAATTTTTGGAGGTAACCTGGCTGAAATTCAATTATTTTGAACCTAATGACTGAACCTTAATTAACATAAATGAGAATTTATCAATTCAAACAGATGACAACAAGAAGACAATTATAAATTACTCTTGTTTTCAATAATTATGTTATTTTTCATTTTCATTTTGAGTTTATAAATTTTAAAATGACTTTAAGAGCCTAATTCTTGTGGAATCACTTTTTTACTATTACTCCCATTTCAAATTGTTAATTACATAGAAATATTTTGTTAACATATTACATGCAGGCATTTTTATAATATATTATAAAATACTAACATTTTTAAATTTATTGAAGAAACTATCAGAAGAATTTTGAATAAAAATAAGACAGAATAAAGTTCTCTTATTGGACAATTATTAAATATTATAATTTAGTCAAAAAAAAAAAAATTATTTACTTACCTTCTTGATTTTTAAGCTTCCGTGGATGTGACCAGAGCTCCTTTAGGAGTGTATGCGGTGGCATTTGGATCTAATGTCGATACGGAATTTTCTGTTAAGCCGTGATAATTTTTCAGCGCGTTAAAACCTCCATCTGTAAAAAAAAAAAAAAAAAATTTCAGAAAAACCTCATCATAAAATCACCTCATATGTAGTGTAAAATAATTACCTTTTGAAAAACAATGAATGTGACGATCTGACAGTCTGAATTTTGAAGTTCCCGAAGAAGGAACAGGAGAAGAACAAAATGATTCATTAGGCATTACAGCCAAAACTTGTGCCATTTTTCCTTTTAATTCTTCCAGTTCCTTTTCTTGATTTCGTATATGACCTTAAACAGTTTTTGACAAAAATTTTTTTTTAAAGGAAGAAATGCAAAAATTATATACAAATATATATTAGTGATAAAATAAAAAACATACTTTCACGAAGTTCGAGCTGTCTTTTAGCTTCTCCCAAAGCAGAAAACAGATCTAATTTAATTTTTGTTTCCGCACTTAAACTATTCTCAAGGTGAGCATTTTTTTCTTGCATTGCTGCTAGAGCAGACATTATTATTTCTTTCTCATTATGATTTTCATTATATTGCCGTAAACTTTGTATTTCTCTATCGCTGGCTAAAATTCTTTCTTCTTTCAGTTTTAATTCTCTTCTAAGCTGTTTGATATCAGCTTCAAATTCTCGTCTTTTTGATCGACACATTTCCGTGCATTCTCCTCTAAAAATTTCAATCAAATAAAATTATGAGCAGCAGTTATAAAATAAAATTTAAATTTTTTTTTTTTATTTAAAAGAAACAAACTTATTCAACGTTGCCATTGCTATGGCTTGAGCTGCAGCAGCTTCTTCTGCCTTCTTTGCTTTTCTTTCAGCTGCTAGCTGAGCTTCGCACGACCCGCGCGCTCTTCGCTCTTCAGCAAGTTTTTTTTCCAACTGACTCATTGTTTGTTTATCCAATTGCCGACCAGAAACAAGGCTATGAAGTCGAGTTTGCAAATCTTCATTAAGATGTTGTAACTGAGTCAGTTCTGTTTTTGTTGTACGTTCACTTAGAGTTATATTACTTAATTGGCTACGAAGTTCTCCTTCTGACTGTTTACTAATTTGCAAATCTACTTTAAGTTTTTTAACATCATTTTCTAGCCTATTATAATAAAAAAAAAATTAATACAAATTTAAAATTTATTTCAAGTAATTTAAGATTTTTTCTTTTTTATACTATATTTAATTATCTGACCTTAGTAAGTATTCATCTTTATAACCAATTCCATTCGCATCTGAATGCCCTTCTTTATTTGATTTATTCTTTTTTTCTTTATGATTATTATTTGTGTATTCTGAGACAGACTTGTTGAGATTCCCCTTATTTATTTTATCCTGAGTTCTAAATAATACAAAAAAAACCCTTTAATTTTATATAAATATGGTGTTCAATATATTCAAAATTAAAATAAATTGAAATATATCATGTCGATAAAATATTTTTTTCCTATTTCAATGTTTTTTTTGTGTTTCAACGTAAAATAATAAAATTGAAATAAAATTATAATTATCAAATAAATCATCAGCTCTACATTGATTCATTAATGAAAAAAAAAAAAAAAAAAAACAATTTGAATTGGATTATTTTGGTGGTCTATGACGTATTTTTGGCTTGACGAGCTTAAACCCTTGATTAAACAGTTATTTATTTGCTTACACTTTTTAAATATGTAAAACAATACATTACACAATGTAGAAGAAACTTCAAAAAATTAATTTTTTAAATGAGAAAGAAAAATTATTCATTAATATGTTAATTTTAACCCATCCCATTTTAATATTTAGTCCTTTGAAAAATACTTACTTAAGCTTTTCAGTGCCTTCCATTTCAGAATTTACAGAATTATTTAAACTAATATGTACTACTTTTTTTTCTTGTCGATCCTTTTCTAAATCTTTGTCACAAGACTTTCTATGATAATTTTTACCAATAATTTTTAACTGTACTGGGCCTATACTAAATCCTTCACATATCTTCCCTGTATCAGATTCAGTTGAACTAAGGCTACCTGAAAAATAAATAAAAATTAAATATAAAAATATATATAAATGCACACTGATAAAATAATTATTTTATGATTTTTAAAAAACTACATACCTCTAATTTTTTCTGAATTTGTTACATTCAGTAATTCAGGAGCATTAGCCAAATCTTCTTGAATAGGCAATGCTTGTTGAATTAATTGCATGTAAAATTCATTTTCCTTAGCAACTTCTTTTTGCTTTTTTTGCCTGATTCGATAACCCACATAACTTTTAAATCCAAACCCAAATGTTACTACAGGATAACCAATACTGAAAAAATTTTATGACAAAAATTATTACAATTGATTTATCCTCTCAAGTATGTAGTTATGAAGAAAATACATACCAATGAGCTGCAAAGGGTCTACACAAATCCATGTGAGATGGAAAATGTTTGAAATGTCTCAAACGAATCATGGCTTCAACATAAACAAAAAGTATGCACAACACCACAGTAGGCAAGCATATTCCTTTTTCAGTGTGCCAAACATATTGTACCCAAACATAAGTACTTGCTAAAAAAAATAACCAGTGAACTGGTATGAAGAAAAAGCATATCATGTCTGAAGTTGCAGCTATACAAACAAATAAAGCTGAGAATGCCTGAAAATCATTAAGGTTTTTTTTAAAAAAAATTTAAAACATTATATAAATCTACATGAAAAAGTGCACAAATGTTTTTCTAAAATTAAGTTTAAATATTACAAATAATATTTTTTCAAACCACTGTCATATCAAAAGAAATTAAATACAGATTATACTTACCAAACCCTGGTATTTGAATGAATCATACACACTACGTAATAATAGCCAAAATGGCCAAAGAAACTCAAAACGAAATTCCACAATAAAGTCAATAAAAAGTATAATAGCCCATAATGTAAGAAATTTTGCATATAGAAGAGAGCTAAAAAAAAAAAAAAAAAAAAACCTTAGCTACAACATGATGATGAGAGAAATATTAATTATTATTATTATAATTCATCATCGTAAACGCAATTTAAAAAATTTTGCCTAAAATAAATTCTCCATAAATATAAAATCGATATAATATTCATATAAAAATAAAAATAAAATATTGTTGTGTTATGCTAAATTTTCTGAAAACCAGCCATTTTGAAGCAAATAAGTAGTTAGAAATGCTTACCTTCCGGATATACCTTCAGTTATTTTGGGTCGCTTTAAAGGTCTCCGAAATTTGCCACCTTCGGCATTTCTCCTCTTCATATTCTTCGGGACAATCGCTGATAGTATATGCAATGCATTCACAGTAAACCATAAATAAAAAAAATTTGTACCGTTAACACAACGTCTTAAGCTTTATTTGTTGTCATTGCCTAAAAACAATAAAATTTCCCCGTATAATAAAACGCAATTGTACTCAACTAAAAAAATAAAGAATTACATTGTATTTAACTTACCAACGTAGGATTCAATTAAAGGTTAGCAGGACGCGTAAATTTCGGTTGGATGCAATGCAATTTTTTTTTTTTTTTTTTTTTTAGTTTGACAACCTTATGCATCCTTGATCACAACAAGCCATCCATTCGCGGCAATTATAATTTTTATCTTGCGTGCGGCCGGTAGTCAATTAAAATGGGAGATAAAGATGGTGGTAAGTATTTACATATAATTAAATAGAAACGTTTCCGTCGTTCGGCTCTGAAATTGAAGTTTTACGGCAAAGAGGAGAATTTATGTAATTTAAGTTACGCTGACGATTCGGTTAAAGCGCTCGGAGTTTTGAATTTTTTTTTTTTTTTTTTTGTTACAGAGAATTTCGATGACGCCGTGGAAGAAAGAGTCATTAACGAAGAGTACAAAATATGGAAGAAAAATACGCCTTTCTTATACGACCTAGTGATGACCCATGCATTAGAATGGCCCTCTTTGACTGCTCAATGGTTAATTGATGTAACACGTCCAGAAGGAAAAGATTATTCTATTCATCGGTTAATATTAGGAACGCACACATCGGACGAGCAAAATCACCTATTAATTGCCAGTGTCCAACTTCCCAATGAAGATGCTCAGTTTGATGCCTCACATTATGATAATGAAAGAGGAGGTAAGTCAATTATTTAAAAAGTTTTAAAAAAAAAAAATAATAATAATGTATGGCACTTCAAAATTTTAAAATGTAGTAAAATTGCATCAGTTTTTTTTTTTTTTTTTTTTTTTTTTATTACATTCAACATTTTATTAACACAACCAATAACCATTGCAATACAATAAAAATTAATTATGAAATATTTTTCATGCAATATTAAACTATTTATGCCATTATCATTGGCACACTTTCTTTCTTATTTATCAGAACTGGAGCTGTAAAAGAAATTATGAAAATTGAAAAAAAAATGCTGTTTTAGAATTTGGAGGCTTTGGTTCAGTTAGTGGAAAGATTGAAATAGAAATAAAAATAAATCATGAAGGAGAAGTAAACAGAGCTAGATATATGCCACAGAATCCATGTGTAATAGCTACAAAAACACCATCCAGTGATGTATTGGTTTTTGATTACACTAAGCATCCTTCTAAACCTGATCCAAGTGGAGAATGTCATCCTGACTTGAGACTCAGGGGTCATCAGAAGGAGGGATATGGACTTTCATGGAATCCTAATCTTAATGGGTATCTGTTAAGTGCTTCAGATGATCACACCATCTGTCTTTGGGACATAAATGCAACACCCAAAGAAAATCGTGTTATAGATGCTAAAACTATATTTACTGGACACACTGCAGTAGTGGAAGTAAGTTGTTTGACAATCACATTTATATTTTTTTTTTTTTTTTTTTTTTAATTTAATAAAGTATAGCTAAATTGTTAAATTTTGGTCTTACATGTGACATTTTAAACATTATTTACATAGGTTTTACATAAATACTCAGGTTTTTTTTTTTTTTTTTGTTTTAAGGATGTTGCATGGCATCTACTTCATGAATCACTTTTTGGTTCAGTAGCAGATGATCAAAAGCTTATGATATGGGACACTCGTTGCAACAATACTTCTAGGCCATCTCATACAGTAGATGCTCACACTGCAGAAGTAAACTGTTTGTCTTTCAACCCTTATTCTGAATTTATTCTAGCTACTGGCAGTGCAGATAAAACTGTGGCTCTTTGGGATCTAAGAAACTTAAAACTAAAATTACATTCCTTTGAATCTCACAAGGATGAAATATTTCAAGTTAGTTTCTTTTGATAGTTTTTCTTCTTTTTTTTTAAAAATATTTAGGAAATTTACAAGTTACGATTTGTTGAAAATATTACAAATTTATTTATCCTGCACAGGTTCAGTGGTCGCCTCATAATGAGACCATTTTAGCCTCAAGTGGAACTGATAGAAGATTACACGTTTGGGACCTGAGTAAAATAGGAGAAGAGCAATCAGCAGAAGATGCTGAGGATGGACCTCCTGAACTTTTGGTACAGTACAAATTATTGTTAAAAAAAAAAAAAAAAAAAAAATCAAATGTTAAATTTAAAAAAATTAAAGGCGTTACCTAACGTATTTTTTTTATTTTATCTTATGAATTCTAGTTTATTCATGGTGGCCACACAGCTAAAATTTCAGATTTTTCATGGAATCACAATGAGCAATGGGTTATATGTTCTGTATCGGAGGATAACATAATGCAAGTTTGGCAAATGGCTGAAAATATTTATAATGATGAAGAACCGGAAACATCCGCATCCGAACTCGAAGCGGTGGCTACCTAAATTTTAATTTATATTAATTTTTAACGTTTATTTTAATTTTTTGTTTTCATCTAATTTTAAGTGTAATGTACTGTGTCAAATATTGTGTATTTTGATAGTTTTATATTTTTTTGTAAATATACTATGTGTTGGTAACTAAATACTTAATTTTCTCTCTTTTTCCTATTTTTTAAAGAATTATCGGCCATAATTTGAATTTGAAAAAAAACATCCTAACAGGAAAATAAAAATTTTGTTCAATTTTTATTAAAATGTTATAAATACACCGATAATATAAGCCCCAAATAACATTTTTTACTTTCTATTTAGTATTTTATTACTACGTGTCAATAGTACTTGGCAAATTTATTAGTTTTTATCACGGAAATTTTACTCAAAAATTAGGAAAAACAAAATAATAAAAATTAATATAACGGAATACTTTATATATAATTTAATTTATTCAACATAATAGAATACAAAATAAGTAAAAATATAAAAAACAGTCTCTCATTGACCATAGAATAAACATTATTTTAAATTAATGTAATAAGATTTAAGTGGCCACCGCTTCAAGTTCGGATGCGGATGTTTCCGGTTCTTCATCATTGTAAATATTTTCAGCCATTTGCCAAACTTGCATTATGTTATCCTCCGATACAGAACATATAACCCATTGCTCATTGTGATTCCATGAAAAATCTGAAATTTTAGCTGTGTGGCCACCATGAATAAACTAGAATTCATAAGATAAAATAAAAAAAATACGTTAGGTAACGCCTTTAATTTTTTTAAATTTAACATTTGATTTTTTTTTTTTTTTTTTTTTTAACAATAATTTGTACTGTACCAAAAGTTCAGGAGGTCCATCCTCAGCATCTTCTGCTGATTGCTCTTCTCCTATTTTACTCAGGTCCCAAACGTGTAATCTTCTATCAGTTCCACTTGAGGCTAAAATGGTCTCATTATGAGGCGACCACTGAACCTGTGCAGGATAAATAAATTTGTAATATTTTCAACAAATCGTAACTTGTAAATTTCCTAAATATTTTTAAAAAAAAAGAAGAAAAACTATCAAAAGAAACTAACTTGAAATATTTCATCCTTGTGAGATTCAAAGGAATGTAATTTTAGTTTTAAGTTTCTTAGATCCCAAAGAGCCACAGTTTTATCTGCACTGCCAGTAGCTAGAATAAATTCAGAATAAGGGTTGAAAGACAAACAGTTTACTTCTGCAGTGTGAGCATCTACTGTATGAGATGGCCTAGAAGTATTGTTGCAACGAGTGTCCCATATCATAAGCTTTTGATCATCTGCTACTGAACCAAAAAGTGATTCATGAAGTAGATGCCATGCAACATCCTTAAAACAAAAAAAAAAAAAAAAACCTGAGTATTTATGTAAAACCTATGTAAATAATGTTTAAAATGTCACATGTAAGACCAAAATTTAACAATTTAGCTATACTTTATTAAATTAAAAAAAAAAAAAAAAAAAAAATATAAATGTGATTGTCAAACAACTTACTTCCACTACTGCAGTGTGTCCAGTAAATATAGTTTTAGCATCTATAACACGATTTTCTTTGGGTGTTGCATTTATGTCCCAAAGACAGATGGTGTGATCATCTGAAGCACTTAACAGATACCCATTAAGATTAGGATTCCATGAAAGTCCATATCCCTCCTTCTGATGACCCCTGAGTCTCAAGTCAGGATGACATTCTCCACTTGGATCAGGTTTAGAAGGATGCTTAGTGTAATCAAAAACCAATACATCACTGGATGGTGTTTTTGTAGCTATTACACATGGATTCTGTGGCATATATCTAGCTCTGTTTACTTCTCCTTCATGATTTATTTTTATTTCTATTTCAATCTTTCCACTAACTGAACCAAAGCCTCCAAATTCTAAAACAGCATTTTTTTTTCAATTTTCATAATTTCTTTTACAGCTCCAGTTCTGATAAATAAGAAAGAAAGTGTGCCAATGATAATGGCATAAATAGTTTAATATTGCATGAAAAATATTTCATAATTAATTTTTATTGTATTGCAATGGTTATTGGTTGTGTTAATAAAATGTTGAATGTAATAAAAAAAAAAAAAAAAAAAAAAAAAACTGATGCAATTTTACTACATTTTAAAATTTTGAAGTGCCATACATTATTATTATTTTTTTTTTTTAAAACTTTTTAAATAATTGACTTACCTCCTCTTTCATTATCATAATGTGAGGCATCAAACTGAGCATCTTCATTGGGAAGTTGGACACTGGCAATTAATAGGTGATTTTGCTCGTCCGATGTGTGCGTTCCTAATATTAACCGATGAATAGAATAATCTTTTCCTTCTGGACGTGTTACATCAATTAACCATTGAGCAGTCAAAGAGGGCCATTCTAATGCATGGGTCATCACTAGGTCGTATAAGAAAGGCGTATTTTTCTTCCATATTTTGTACTCTTCGTTAATGACTCTTTCTTCCACGGCGTCATCGAAATTTTCTGTAACAAAAAAAAAAAAAAAAAAATTCAAAACTCCGAGCGCTTTAACCGAATCGTCAGCGTAACTTAAATTACATAAATTCTCCTCTTTGCCGTAAAACTTCAATTTCAGAGCCGAACGACGGAAACGTTTCTATTTAATTATATGTAAATACTTACCACCATCTTTATCTCCCATTTTAATTGACTACCGGCCGCACGCAAGATAAAAATTATAATTGCCGCGAATGGATGGCTTGTTGTGATCAAGGATGCATAAGGTTGTCAAACTAAAAAAAAAAAAAAAAAAAAAATTGCATTGCATCCAACCGAAATTTACGCGTCCTGCTAACCTTTAATTGAATCCTACGTTGGTAAGTTAAATATAATGTAAAATTCTTATTTTTTACTTCTATTGAACTAAAAAATTTGTATATTTCGACAAAAGTTTTTTGAATAATAATACAATTTTATAATTTTTTTCGACTGGTAATGAAATCAAAATTTTTTGTTATTTTTTAATTTGATAATTTTTTTTTTTTTAACTATTACTGAAATGAAAAATTTTAATTTTTTAAAAATTTGTTTGTCGTAAAAATATTACATGATTTCTGAACGCTCACCAATTTGGCGGCAATTTTCAGACTATTGAAGTATACAAATGAACGGGTACGGAATTTTTCGTTTTGTAAAATTTTCTTTTTTTTCGGGTTTTAGTTAATATAAAAAATTAGTGTTCAGTTTTGAAATTACTTATTAGTAAAATTAAGAGACGTAATCATATTTGTTCTCATTATTAATAAGATTTTTTTGTGAGTTATTTTCAGTTATTTATGTTGGATATAGATATTATATTTGAAATATTAAATTGTTATTTGTAAAAAATTTTTGCCCAAAGTTTATTATTATTATTATTGTTATTAGTTCAATGTTAATTTTTGACAGTTTTTTTTTCGAAACATATAGGAAGAATAATAAAAAATACCCCAAAGGTAAGTTTTAAATGCTATAAATTTTTAAACGTCCTTGAAGTATTTTCCTGATATTTGAAAGTTTTGAGTTTAAATCATTTCATTTAAACTTATATGTTCTATATTAAAGATTATGAAACTCAATGGAGGGGTAAAGTTATTAGAATGAAACCGTTCTATTAAATTAATATCACGTTTTAAACACAATTTTTATTAATTAATTTATTTGCTTGATTTAAAAAATTTTGCGTTTTAATAAATGCCTTGTAATTATATAGAAAGTATTAAAATTAATTACTGACATGTAATTCTTATTAATTCACCCTTATTACTTATGACAATAAAGTATAAATTAGTTTTTTGAAAAAAATTTTTATTTTCTTATTCTCTTGTCTTAATTTCGGCTTTGCAGACAGATAAAATTATTGTAAAAAATAATTGAAAAATATTATTAAATTTACATTTAATTATTATATAGCCTAGTACATAAAATGCGTATTTTTAATTTATAAATTTACAACAACAATAAAACTTTTAAAAGTTTGAAAATAAAGTATTTTAACACCAAGACTTGTTTTTTTTAACAATATAAAAAACTACAAAGCGTGACAGTAACAGATACACCGTTATAATATTAACGGTTTTTTTTGAATACGTGTTGAGGCCGTAAGATACGGACCAAAAAAGTTATGCCAGTAGTGTTTTGTCATTAGTGCGATTATTGTGACTCGACATTCAGAAGCTGGATAAGTAAAGCTGATCTTGCGCCTTTCTCAAATCGATTCATAACTCAATTGGCATTCGAGGATATTTTTACTGGCATATGGATAAATAAATTAAAATGGAAAATAAACCTTTAGAGGGATTTACTTTTTTATTTGGATTGGCAGAGGCTTTAGGAGCCTTGGGTTTAATTCTGACAGCGATTTGGTTGGGATCCTATAGGTAAGTACTTTCTTTTTCTTGAAAAAATTATAATTTTTTTTGCAACAGAGATTTTTTAAGTTAAATTATTGTAGGGGCGGCTTTACATGGACATCAAATCCTAAGTTAGAATTCAATTGGCATCCCCTGTTGATGATGATGGGAATGATTTTCTTATACGCAAACGGTACATAAATTATTTATCATTTGCAAATGTGTTGATAGTATTATAAATAAATGTATTTTCATTTATATTCCAGGAATATTGGTTTACAGATCTTTTAGGAACAGTCGCAAACGGAAATTAAAAATTGCACATGCTTTTATAAATGCAATGGCTTTTATATTTACTATTATAGGATTGCAAGCAGTTTTTGATTCACATAATTTAGCATCTCCATCTCCCATACCCAACATGTATAGCTTGCATTCATGGCTTGGATTAGCATCTGTTATATTATTCGCTTTACAGGTGACATAAATTTTTGTTAATCAAGTAATTTATTTTTATTAAGATAAAGGAAAAAGAAAAAATTTTTTTTTCAGTGGGTCTTTGGCTTGTTGTCTTTTCTTTATCCTACTTTGAGTGCTCCTTTAAGAGCCACCTACTATCCAATTCATGTTTTCTTTGGAATTAATGCTTTTGTTTGTGCATCAGCATCAGCGCTTTTGGGTCTCACTGAAAAAGCAATTTTCAATGTTAGGTAGGTTTATTAAGTAAAAAAAAAAAAAAAAAAGAAAGTTATATTGTAATTACATTATTTGAGAGCACCATTGTATTTTATGTATTCATTAAAGTGATTACAGTCAGTTTTCATCAGAAGGATTACTTGTCAACTGCATTGGTGTAACAATTGTTATCTTTACAAGTTTGGTGGTCCATTTAGTTACCGAGGTCAAATTTAAGAGACATCCTCTTCCTGAAGATGAAATGCTTTTGACCTCTAATGAGTGAGTAAATTTAATATCAGTAACATTTATTTATTAATTCATGTATTATACTGATACAATCAGTATTGTATTGTATTTTTAAATTTCTAATGCTTTATTTTTTATTATCATTGTTGTTATTATGTTTGTTTAATTAAAGAATTTAATGTTTTTTGTGGCTGTGAGGAATTCAGTATTTAAATTTTTAATTTAACTTTATTAAAAAAGTAAACTAACTTTTTTATACTGTTATTATTTTTTTGGATTTTATAAAAATTTATTTAAAATTATTGAAAAGTAAAGTATTTTATCAGCTTCCTAATGTATAATTACTATTTTTTTTGTTAATTATTTTTACTTTGTTTTTATAAATGTAAATGTTTTTTTATTTTTAAATTCTATATGTATTTTGTGGTATAATTTATTTTATTAAATAAAATATATATATAATATAATAAATGGGTTATGGAAAATTTAGGGGGTTGTAGTAAGTCAATCCAATAACCATTCCTGTTTTTGTTTTGTTATGGATGGCACAAAAATGTATTTTGGCATATTTTTATTTAATAATTTTTAGTCTGCATAATTTATTAGTTGCCAATAAAAATTATTTTTCCTTGTTTAAATTAAATGTAGTTATACATTATTATATTAGCATTAGAAAATTAGAAATGCAGTAAAATTAAATTTTGTTTGAAATAATAATTTTTTCATTTAGTAAATTCTTTTTAACATTTTTAATAGAACAATTTCGTCATTTTTTTTTTCAAAAGTTACTTAAAGTCACAATCACAATTATAATTTTAGATTATTTTTAATTATTTTTTTATTAAATGCATAATTTTCAAAACCTAAAAACTTTGATTTTATTATTTCAATTATTATTTCAACATTAATTTTAAAAAAATTGACTTCAAATTATCTGCTACTAAATTAAATTTAAATTTCTTATTTAGGAAAATTCTTTTCATATATATATTAAACAACATTTGAAAATTTTTTAATATGTTTTATCAGTTCATATCCGAGACAATAATTTCCGTCATACATTTTTTTTTTTTTATTTTACTAATTTAAATGTTTGAATATGATAAAGAGAAATTTTTATTGCTCTTTGTTTAAATTTTAGGGCGACAACTAATTCATAAAAATTTTTTTTTTTTTTTTTATATTTGACTGAAATTAATTTTTTTTTTTTTAAATTTAATCGGTCTTTTAAATTTTTAAAATAAATAAAAGCAAAAAAAAAATGCTATAATATTCTCTTTTCATTTTTCCTTCATTTATTTTTTGTAAATTAAAATAAATTTTCCTGCTCATAGCTTTTCTTTTTTTTTTTTTTTTAATGTTTTATTTTTTGACTAATTTATTAAAAATTTACGCTCTAAAAATGACCTTTTAAATCCATGAAGGTTAAAAGAAAAAAAAAAATAAATAAATAGTCGATTTTTCTTTAAATTTTTTAAACATCATTATTTTGTTATTGACCTTAAAATGTTTTCAATTATATTTACGGGAAAAAAATTTTTTTCTCATTAATCGCATTAATTTAATTATTATTATTATTTTTTATATTCTCAATCAAATAAAATAAAAAAATTTTCTTTTAAAATATTTTACATTAATTATCATTTCTAATTAAGCATAGCATAAAAAGTTATATTTCTGACACAGGATTTCCCTTTTTTAGTATTTTTATAACAGATTAAAAAAAAAAATTTTTTTTT